GCTCTACATCTTTTGGGGAGTATTGGTACTTCTGTTTATGAAATTTTCAGAGATCAATTACTAGAATTACTGTACTAGCAGACGTGTGGAAATTATGACAGCTCTCTTTTAACACTTGAAAGCCAAAAGTAGACGGTTCTATTTTTGAAATGAGAGAATACATTATTTTTTTATCCTCAAGGTAAAATTTGTTTTAAGTATTTGTCCCTCACTAACTCACTGCGGATGGTCTACCATATACGAAACAATATCCCTGTTGAACCCCAATAACTCATTTTTTACATATTCATTTTCAACCACATATTCTATCAGTAACATAATTTGCACAAAAATCGAAAACTTTTTCTTATTTTTTAACCACACATTTTCCAAAAATTATTGTAACATTCATTTTAACATAAAACTGGGGCTCAAACAAAGGCAATAATATATTTTTGATGGCTTCTCTTATTTTTTTGATAGTAATACTAATAATCTCTGATGCTTGGACTCTTCGAAATAGCTAGAGTACCCGTGTCGGGTATGACACGACGTGGGTATGAGTATGGGATATGTGTCGGATCCTCCAAGTTTCAACCGGACACTTCGTCGTTTTTGTTTCTTCTTCCTTATTTTTCTTCTTTTTTTTCTTTTCCTTTTCTTCTTTCCCACTTTTGCTCTCTATAAACTTAGCGTCGTCGCCGAAAGGGTGGAGCAAGGCGGCGGTGACGCTAGGTTTTACCTTCTTTTTATTTCTCTTTTTTTTCTCCTTTTCTCTCTCTCTGGGCGGTTTAGGATTTTGTTTGTATAAAATGAAAATGGGTTCCATAAATTACGATCATGTTCCTCATTTTCTATTTTATATAACATTTAGTAATTCCCATAATTGAAAATTAAACTCAAAAATTTTATTTTATTCGTCTTAACCATTTATTAAATATCAATTTCCGTAATTGTGAATAATTAGTTTTGATCTATTTAAAATGACATCTTCTATTAGTAAAAAAAAATTGAAGTTTGAAAGACGTACCCCACGTACCCGTGTCTGAAATTTGGACTCATTTTAGCTATGTCTCCGTATCCTACATTTTAGAATATAAAAGATCTGACACTTAGATACGTACTCGTACCAGATACCCGTACTCGAGTCTGAGCATCATAACTAATAATCTCTTCGTCTATATCATTTTGGTGAAACTTTTATTTCTTTCTTTGGCTTATGTGTATGAGTATAAAATTTTGATAAGGTCTACTACATTTTTTTCCTTTTGTATGCATTGATTTATGATAGCTGGTATAATTATTACCCTCCAAGTTGTTTATTTATTTTATTCTTCTTTGTTTCTCTATTTTTAATTGTTCTATCTTTGCTGCCGTGAAGGTGACAGCCTGGCAATATTGCGAGCAGAACTGAAGAATCAAAAGAAACATGTAAAGAGTCTGAAAAAGAAATCCCTCTGGTCCAGGATTTTGGAAGAGGTAGTGAATATTCCTGTTTTTATGTGGGTGCCAAGTGTAGACTAGGCTTTCTGTATTTGAATAGTGACTTTTAATTTTTACATGCAACTGGAGACAAGGTTATGTTCTGTAGTTACTTGTTTGTTGTCACTATAAATCTTTGTTCTGCAACCTTACTAATTTATGTATGTTTCATTTATGTTAAGGTAATGGAGAAGCTTGTAGATATCGTCCATTTTCTAAATTTGGAGATCCATACGGCATTTGGTAGCTCTGGTAATGCATCGAAAATTTTCGGTATAGTTTGAACAGTTATGCTGGTCTTTTTATTATATCTTCTCCTCTTTTAGTGGTCTTCTTTTTTTCTTAATATTCTACTCACTTGTTCATCATATAACCAAAAAAGGGATACTGAATTATGTAATATTTATTCAGATGGTGTAAAATGGGTTCATAATTTTATTTCTTTTTCATGCTTTTAAAATATAACTACA